TGAGCTCTTTTTCTACTTTGCTTAATTGAAATCAATAACTTAACCTCAATGTATTTTAGTGCAGGCATGCCTCTTAATATTTGTGTAGGCATGGATGTGCTGTCCATTTTTAAACAATTTTTACATTTTTTTGTATTCTCTGCTTGAGTGTTGAACTGAATGTCTAGCTGGAGAATGAAAGGGGACGGGAGACTGATGAATGTGTGTCAAACCCCTTGTAATTAGAGCAGTTGATGAGCAACAGCAATAAATAGGCCAGGTGAAAGATCTGAGGCTTTCCCTTCCCTCCCTCAACCTCCATTGGCCTGCATATGTTGCTCTTAGAATTTAAAAAAAAAAAAACAAAAAAAAAACAAAAACTGATTTTAGCTTTTAATACTTTACTATTCTGAACACCAATTCATTTTGCCTGGATGTCAGAGGATTAGGGAGGGGTTTGTAAGAGGCTTCGGAAAAATGCATGATGCAGCGTTTAAATTATTCTGATTATTATTTTCGGAGGGAGAACTCTTTCAGCTCCATAGTGGCACATTCACTCAGCTCCGGGGAGATTTCTTGGAATTAAAGAGTAGGGGTGATGCTTTTGGCTGACTCCCTGGAGTCTGCTAGAGTTGGGGAGAAAGGACTCCTTGTCCTGCTCTTTGATAAGCAAATGCTGCCTAGTGTTCTAGTGTACGAATCTGATGCATGGGGCCTCCTTGGGGTCCCTCTAACTTTTAAGACCCTCCCCAAGGAGGCAACCTTGAAACCATGGATGGGGAGAGGGAGAAGAAGGTAGGAAAAAGAGTTAACTGTTTAGCTGGCGTCCACGAGCTTCAAAGAGTGTAGTTCAAGAGAAAACAATTCCCAATTCCAGGGAGGGTCATTGACAATCACTGCGTTGTAGCAAAGGACGAAATTTCAGTTACCCCTTGTTCCTCCAATAGATTCTGGGTTCTAATGAGATCCTGGAAATATTCTCCAGGCACTGCATGGGGGTGGGGGTGCAGAGAGTTGGAAAGAGGAGAGTGATGGGGGAAGGGGAGTTGAGGGAGAGAAGGGAATTGGATTGTTCATAGGTGAGATGGTGTGTGTGTCTGTGTCTGTGTGTATGTGTGCCTGTGCATGTATATGTGCAGGATGCCAGGGTGGTTTACTTTGCATATGAAGGAACTTGGGTGGGTCTAACGTATAAGAGGGAAAATCGAACCCATTTATGGCATAGAATGTGAGACAATCTTTAGCAGCGTCTACATTGCTTAATTGACTGCAGTTTCCCATCAGAGCTCATGGGAACTGGGATGGGAATGTGCATGCATTTTTAACGCCTGTTCTAGTGCACGGAGGAATTGAATCGCTGGAAGGAGTGCATTGTTTATCAGGGGTACCTAGATGTTTGAAGCTCGTAAGTTTCAAAATGGACAATCAAGGGGTGTGTTTTTCTTGACAATTTCCTCGCGACACTTGGTGGAAAATCCCTCTGCTAACTTTCAGTCCTGGGGAAAAGGAGAGGGAGCCCAGTGCTGGGGCCACAAGGTCTCCGCCAAGTGGATCTCTGACCACACGAACCCAGAGGACGCCGGCCAGGTGGGGATCTCCTCTAAGCAGTCTCCTTTTGTGCCCGCCGCTTTTCCCACCTTCTCTGATTTCTCAACAAAGCTGCATTACCTTTTTGCGGGCTTTCCTGTGGAAAGGGGTGAGGATGGAGCTTTAAAAAGGAGGGGAAAAAAATCCTTTTGAGACTGACTGGAAGATCTCAATTGCCTGCTGGTCGTAGCCTGCAGAGTGCAGCACCCTCTCTCACGCATACTGAGCCCACTCCCCCTTTTGAGGAGTGGGAGGAAAGGTTTGGGCATCAGAAGCAAAAGAGTTAGGGTCCTCCTCCCTGCCTCGTGCTTTTCCCGGTGGAAGAATGCGAAATGCCCCGCTGTTACCGGAGTGATCCAGGTCTCTTCTCAGTGATTTGCTTTGCCTCCCTCCCTTTGAAAGCAGCAAGCCAACACGAGGCGGTCGAATCCCGGAGAGGAAGAAGGCTTCAGCTGCGACACCAACAAAAGGACTCCTGGTGCAAAGGGGTCGAAGGCGAACGCCGGCCGCTGCTGGCAGGGGACTGGCTGGGCTTGGGTACCAGGGCACCCGGCTACATACCGGAGGGACTTCCTGGCCCCGGGCGCGCCTCTCTGTTCTCGGTCAGTACTCGGAGAGGGATCTGTCAGTCAGGCCAGGGTATCAGGGACGTCTAGGGGTAGGCATGCAGTCTTACTTTGCAAACCGTCTGAATCAACGGAGCTTAGCTGGACTTGGGAGTCAACCCGTCTGGCACCGTTTTCCTTGCTCGAGAGTTCAAGGCCAACCCTCTCCCTCCAACTCTGACATTGACCTCCCCTCCCCCTCTTCCACTCGATTGAAATTATCCTCGGCGGTTGCTACTTCTTTCCCTTTATTGGTTTGCTTAGCCAGGTCCGCTTTCCCAACCACACCACCCCCACCCGCCAGTTAAGACACACTGCCGCGCGCGCGCGCGCGCGGGCACACACACACACACACACACACACACACACACACACACACTCACGAAAACTGTGCAGTCAGGGCTTCCCAGTGCGCGCTCCCAAACCCATGCTAAGCGCGTCCTCCCTTCATTTATTCCTTTTCTCGGAGCTCATTTTCATGACGTGGAGAAGCCTGACCCAGGGCAACAACACATATCCAAAAAAAACCAAAACAAACCAAAAAAAAAAAAAAAACAAAAAACAAAAAAACCAAGCGCGAGAGAGAAGCCCGAGATCCTCCACTGTGATTGAGCCTCTCCTCCCCCCCCCCCCCCCCGCCCCTTGATGTGCTGCTGGTGCCCACAGAAAGCAGCAGCAGCAGCAACAGAGGAGCCGGGTGCCTGCAGCAGCGGCAGCCCCCTTCTTCATCCTCCATTGAGTGTGCTAAGCGGCAGCTCTGCATCCTAAAGAAGCCCCATTGAGGAGCCCATCGCATTCACAGCACGTCTGAGCCTTCTTTTTTTTCTTCCAAAAAAAAAATTTTTTTTACCCCCTTTTGCTTCAGCCTTGGCTGGAGGAGAGCAGAGAGGGAAAGGAAGAGAAAGGAGAGAGAGAGAGAGGGAGGGGGAGAGAGAGAGAGACAGAGAGAGAGAGAGAGAGAGAGAGAGAGAGAGAGAGAGAGAGAGAGAAAATCCTTAAACTCCAGGGTTGTTGTGTTGTGGGTGTGTGTGTGTGTGTGTGTGGTTTTGTTTTCTTTTGTTTTTCAGATGTGCTAAAAAAAATCCTTCAAAACAGGTAAGTCAAATACTTCTGGTGTTTTGGTTTTTCCCCCTGAATTTCAGAGATCTTAGCAGAGAGAAAATAACGATTTGATCTTAGATGGGAAGGGCAGAAGATATTAAATAGATTTCATTATTTTGCAAAGAAAACTGAGAGGACTGACTGATATTGCAATAGACTCCTCTTTCTCTTGCTTTTCCTGTAAATGTGTTTTTAAGTGGTTGTTTGCAGGAAGTGTGCTGCTCTTTCTCATGGACCCACCTTTCCTAATGCAAGTTGAATCCCAGAATTTATTCTTTCCCATTTTCCCTATAAATTCATCTCTCGGTCCCTAAGTTAGAAGCCAGATTGATAAAATACCCCTTCATGCCATGTGTGTGGGGAAAATAGATATGCTAAAATGCATCTTGTTATTTTTCTTGATAAAAAAAGGCCATCAATTTCAGATTGCTAATTCAGTACCTTGGGAAGGACAATCAAATAAACTGCATTATTATAATTTATTCATGTAGACATTCCTTTACATTATATGATATCTAGGGAAGGAAAAGGAGGACCATGTGGGAAGGAGCTGGGTATTAGCAAAATGCATTGCATTTTTTAAATTGGAGAATAGCTTTCTTTTGAAATGTATACAGTGTGATACCCCATTTATCCCCAGGTAAGCGCCAAGGTTTTTCTCATTCCTTTTACTCTCCGCCCATCTCTCAAAGCCCCCTCTTTCTCTCCTCTCACCTCACACCTCTCCCCAGTTTTTCACAGGGTCCCTTGGCTTATCACAAGATACCATAATCCAAACTGGGGTCTTAGAGCTATTCAATGCACAAATACTCTCATATTCAGCAGCCTTTAACTGTCACTCTCCTTGGACCTGCCAATTCCATGGGCATGTGCTCTGGAAAGACTATTTCTAAAGGCTTTAACCAAGCAAATATGTGGACAGTGTTTGTTTAATTAACACCTGCATACTCTCCATAGGGTGTTTTTTTTTGGGGGGGGGGCAGGGGTCTTTGTGTTGCTGCTCATCGTCTTTTATCAAGTATGCTGTAATGTTTTTTCAAGAAAATCCTTAAGTCTTCCAGGGATATCAATCCATCTTGCACATTCCAGCCAAAAGAAATAGAATGATATGGTCTCAGATCATTTTATTGCACCATCTAATGTAATAACTTTGGGGAGTTGTGTGTGTATGCATGAATGTAAGTGTGTATGCATGTGTTTGTATGTAGACCTACATTTGAATGAACTATATTCCCACCAGGTTTTTGTTTGGACTTCTCACAGCAACTACTGATCTTTCCTACTTCTCAGGGCAGGGCAGGATGGGTATTGGAGGTAGGGGTGGGAAGAAACTCTCTAATATCTAATATATCTTTACATCATGGATTCTGTCTCTGCATCAAAGTGAACTGTTTGACTCTCATATTTCTGTTTGCTATAAGAGGGCACAAGAAGGCTGCTTTGATGATAAGCCATTTTACTAGGTGTGACATAGGTTGAGGCAAAGAGTAACTCATGATGAAACATTTTAGTGTCTCTCAAATCCAAAATACAGGGCATTCTCGGAACATTGAACCAAGCTCAGGTTTGTTTTGAACGTTGGCTTAACAGTGGCTTAACTTTCCATAAGGCTCATAAAAAGCCCCACATGTAGGAGTTTATTTTAAAATAGTGCATTATGACTAAATGCTAAAAAAAAAAAAAAACCCTACATTTTTATTTCTCTTGCAGTTTGATCAACACTGAGTGATGAAACCTCCCATGGCTGAAACTCTCCAGAAAGGAAGGATGCTGTGGATAATTCTTTTAAGCACAATTGCCCTAGGATGGACTACACCCATTCCCCTGATAGAGGACTCAGAGGAAATAGATGAACCGTGCTTTGATCCATGTTACTGTGAAGTGAAAGAAAGTATTTTCCATATCCATTGTGACAGTAAAGGATTTACAAATATTAGTCAAATTAATGAGTTCTGGTCCCGACCTTTTAAACTCTACCTGCAGAGGAATTCCATGAGGAAATTGTACACGAACAGTTTTGTTCATTTAAACAACGCTGTGTCTATTAACCTTGGGAACAATGCTTTGCAGGACATCCAGACCGGGGCCTTCAATGGCCTCAAGGTTTTAAAGAGGCTGTATCTACATGAGAATAAACTGGACATCTTCAGAAATGACACTTTCCTCGGTTTGGAAAGTCTAGAATATCTGCAGGCAGATTACAATGTCATTAAACGGATTGAGAGTGGGGCCTTTCGGAACCTGAGCAAATTGAGGGTTCTAATTCTGAATGACAACCTCATCCCCATGCTTCCTACCAATTTATTTAAGGCTGTCTCTTTGACTCATTTGGACCTTAGGGGAAATCGGTTAAAGGTCCTTTCTTATCGAGGAATGCTGGACCATATTGGTAGGAGTTTGATGGAGATCCAGCTAGAGGAAAACCCCTGGAATTGTACCTGTGAAATTGTCCAATTAAAGAGCTGGCTTGAACGAATACCGTATACAGCCCTGGTTGGAGATATTACATGTGAGACCCCTTTCCACTTTCATGGTAAGGACTTGAGGGAAATCAAGAAGACTGAACTTTGTCCCCTGCTGTCTGATTCGGAGGTGGAGGCCAGTTTGGGGATTCCCCAGTTGTCATCCAGCAAGGAGAATGCGTGGCCTACCAAACCCTCCTCCATGTTGTCCTCTGTCCATTTCACTGCGTCTTCTGTGGAATACAAGGCTTCCAACAAACAGCCCAAACCCACCAAGCAGCCCAGGACACCTAAACCACCCCCAACATCCAGAGGCCTGTACCCTGGGCCAAACCAACCCCCTATTGCTGCTTATCAGACCAGACCCCCAATTCCCATCATCTGCCCTACCGGGTGTATCTGCAGCTTGCACATTAATGATCTGGGCTTGACAGTAAACTGCAAAGAGCGGGGGTTCAATAACATCTCTGAACTTCTTCCACGGCCGCTGAATGCCAAGAAACTGTACCTGAGCAGTAACCTGATTCAGAAGATCTACCGCTCAGATTTTTGGAATTTCTCATCTTTGGATCTCTTGCACCTGGGGAACAATCGGATATCTTACGTTCAGGACGGGGCCTTCATCAACCTGCCCAACCTGAAGAGTCTCTTCCTCAATGGAAATGACATCGAGCGGCTAACTCCCGGCATGTTCCGAGGCCTCCAGAGCCTGCACTATCTCTACTTCGAGTTCAATGTCATCCGCGAGATCCAGCCGGCAGCCTTCAGCCTCATGCCCAACCTGAAACTGCTCTTTCTCAACAATAACCTGCTGAGGACGCTGCCCACCGACGCCTTCGCTGGCACTTCCTTGGCCCGCCTGAACCTGCGCAAGAATTACTTCCTCTACCTTCCAGTGGCCGGCGTCCTGGAGCACCTGAACGCCATTGTGCAGATCGACCTCAACGAGAACCCCTGGGACTGCACCTGCGACCTGGTCCCCCTCAAGCAGTGGATCGAGACCATCAGCTCTGTGAGCGTGGTAGGAGACGTGCTCTGCGGCAGCCCGGAGAACCTCACCCACCGGGACGTGCGCACCGTGGAGCTGGAAGTGTTGTGCCCAGAGATGGTGCACCTGGCGCCCGCTGGGGCCTCCCCCGCCGTGCCTGCTGAGGTCCACCCTGCCGGGGGCCCCACCGGCGCCTCGCCCTATGAGTTCGCCCCCCCGGGGGGCGCCGTGCCCCTCTCCGTGCTGATTCTCAGCCTGCTCGTCCTCTTCTTCTCGGCGGTCTTCATTGCTGCGGGGCTTTTCGCCTTCGTGCTGAGGAGGCGTCGGAAGAAGCTGCCATTCCGCAAACGCCAGGAGGGCGTGGACTTGACCGGGATACAGATGCAGTGCCACCGCCTTTTTGAGGATGGCGGAGGGGGTGGAGGCAGTGGAGGGGGTGGCGGGGGTGGGGGGCGACCCAGCCACCCCTCCCCGGAAAAAGCGCCCCCCGTGGGTCACGTCTACGACTACATCCCCCACCCCGTGACCCAAATGTGTAACAACCCCATTTACAAGCCCCGAGAAGAAGAGGAGGCCTCCACCGTGGTGGCAGGCCCGGAGTCTGGGGGTCCTGAAAGGGGGGGTCCAGGGACACAGCCCCCAGGAGTGGGCGAGCTCCTGGGCGGGGAGCAATTCCCTGAGACAGCCAAGGAGAATAACAGTAACTACCGGACCTTGCTGGAGAAGGAGAAGGAGTGGACCCTGGCAGTGTCCAGCTCCCAACTCAACACCATAGTGACCATGAATCACCCTCACCCCCACCCCCACCCTCACCACCCAGCCGGAAGTGGGGTGGCGGGGGTTGTGGGAGGCACTGGGGGAGACTTGGCCGGGTTCCGGCACCACGAAAAGAATGGAGGGGTGGTGCTTTTTCCCCCGGGGGGAGGCTGTGGTCCCGGCAGCATTCTGCTCGATCGAGAGAGACCCCAGCCGACCCCTTGTACGGTGGGCTTCGTGGACTGTCTCTATGGCACAGTGCCCAAGTTAAAGGAGCTGCACGTGCACCCTCCTGGCATGCAATATCCAGACTTACAGCAGGACGCCAGACTCAAAGAAAGCCTTCTGTTCTCGGCTGGAAAGGGCTTCACAGACCCCCAAACCCAAAAAAGCGAATACCTCGAGTTAAGGGCCAAACTCCAAACCAAGCCGGATTACCTCGAAGTCCTGGAGAAGACAACCTATAGGTTCTAACGGAAAGAATAATAATAATAATAATAATATAATAATAAAATTTAAAAGGTTTAGCGCTTTTTTTTTTCAAAAGGAAAAGAAAAAAAAAGAAATATATCCTTTCCCCGATTTCCACCAGGTTCTAATGAGTTAGTCTTTTTCTTGCTCAGACCCTGCCCTGTCCCCAACAAAACGAAATCCGCATGATAACTAGAGAATACAGATGTATGCTCTTACCCTCCCAGATGTGTTTTGGAGGACGGGCCATACTCAGATCATTAATCAATGAAGTGCCTTCGCAGAATTTTGCCAGCAAATGTTATCAATCATTATTTTTTATACTGAAACTTGAGACTTTTGACTGTGCCATGTTAAAGGTATATTATCTGGGATCTTTGTATTGATCCTAATCAAGTAAAATTCTATGTGTTTTTTTTTTTTTTAGTAACTTTTTTTTTCTTTTGGTTTGTGGGGAAGGGAAAGAAAAAAAAAATAAGGTCGGCCTTTGGAGCTTTCTCTCTTCTTGTCCATCATGGCGCAGACTTCTGTACATGTAATAACAATGCAGTTTGCTGCATGCAGAGGGGGAGGGAGGGGGCGGGTCTTGCTCGAATGTTCTCACTCTCTTGTCTCTTTTACATACGCACAGCTCCAGATTCCCACCCCTCCTCCCTTTGCCGCCTTGTCTCCGCGGGCGCGACCCCGCGCGTAGAGCCGCGCGCACGCAAGTAGATACACGCACACACAAACATTTACTCATTACCCTTCCAATATACCTGTACCGCCCCCTCCTAAGCATCCTGGCGCCCCCACTCAGCTCTGTCCCTTCCCCCCCCCACTCCCGGAATCTCAATCCCATCCCAGACCAAATCCCACAGAACCTAAGAAGCCCACCCATGGCACGCCTGGGATAAGCAACTTCTTTGTGACTTCATCCTGATGCCAAGATTCTTTGGAGAACATCCGCACTTTCTTATATACATATATATAAATAGATCTATATATATATTAAAAATATAAAAAGCAACTGGGTATATATATATATATAAATATATCACTAACAGCTTTGTAGGATGCACTTTTAATGTTTTTTTTCTCACAAAGGTTCAGAAACAAATGTGCATATATTTATTCTGTAATTCCAGTGACTATCAATTGTAAAGGTAATGTTTAATCATTGTATAGTGATGATGCGTCTGGTATAGCTTTCCTAATAAAAAAAAAGTTTTGAAAAAATTAGACATATGTAGAGGATACAAAGCTTGATCCTGCAACCCCCAGCTAGACCGTTCTGTCCCAGTTTGAGTTCGGATCTTCTTCTTCTCCCTTCCCCCAGAACTTTCGATTAAGATATTTTTACAGAGCTGTGACGTGGTTCAACTCCGATCAACTTTTTTCCCTCCCCTCCCCCCACTCCCTCTCGAACTCCTAATGGGACTTAAAAAAGGAAGGAAAGGAAAAGAAAGAAATCAACAATAACAACAAAGGTTTGCTATTTGCTATCCTTTCTCCATGCATTGTGGCAGTAGCAGACTTTGCAACTGTGTTGCCAAGGTCAGTCGGGCCCAGGTTGGCTTCCTAAACCGGAAGGAAAGGCGGGAAATGAGCAGTGAAAATCTGGCGGATCGCAGCTCGCGGTTGGATTAGCCCTGAGGAAGGCTGGAGGCCCCCTGCACAGAGGGAAGCCGGGGCTGTAGCAATACAGTCTTTAAAACTTTCACTGAGGGCACGTGCTGTGATGCATTTTGTCTTTTGAAACTTCCTCCTTGTCAGGAAAACGACCCTGAAGCCGGTTAGCTGGGAAAGTCTCCGCGCCTTGGCATTTGGTTGCTCTCACCTTCCTGCCTTCGACTTTTTGCAAAAGTCGTGCTTGCATTAAAAACGAGAGGCTGCTGCACCCTTTCCCCTCCCTTCCTGTGAGTCATTAAAATCATGTTGGAGAAAGAAAATGGACTTGACAATAACCCCAGCTGTAGCCAACTGATGTGTGAGTGAAACCAAAGATAATAGGATTTTTAAATTATGTATTTATTTATTTATTTCAAGGCACTGGTATCTTGGTCTTGGGAGGAAATGGAGTTGACCCAGAAAAAAAAATATGGAAGTTTGAGAGTCGGCACAAACGCAGATAGGCCAGGAGAGGGCGCCAGAGCCCCAGCGATTCCGGGCCCCAGCAGCTACTTACTGCACGAGCTTGTAGACCAACTCGGGTTTTCAATTTGTGCTTTCTCCAGGACCCTACAGCAGAAATCCACCCTTACACCCTGAATGTAGTTCGCCAGATGTCATTAACGCCTTACATCAAATTGCTTTTTTTTTTCCCCCAAGGGAGTGTTGTGAAAAACATCTTGAAGTTTTGTGTCCGGTTGCACCACCAAGGCTGTGCTCTTAAAAGGCCTCAATAGTGTCTACACTCGGGAAGAGACTTTAACTAGACCAAGTATCCATCTCTGCATAGCTACAGAGATATGCATAAAGATGATGGACACCCACACAAACACACATGCAACCTTAATGTGTCTGTGGATGGTATTTTCAGGGCAAACATCTTTCTTTGCGATTGAATAACTTGTGCCTGACGCCTTTGTCGATAGATTATTTTGGAAGCATAGCTAGGGAGTCACTGTTAGATGAAATGACAGTCTATGGATTTTTTTTTTTCTTTTTGAAGGGGGGAAGCTCTGCTACTTTGTTGGGGGGGGGGGCAATCATGTAGATCACCAATGGTTTGGAATGTAGGAAAATTGATTTAGAGGTAAAGGAGTCATTAGTGAAGATCTAGTCCAATCCGCTCATTTTACCATTTGAAGAAACTGATGTCCACGAATTAAGCCTGAGGTCACAGAGCCAGTAAGTGATAGAGCCTAGATTTCAGTCTGTGTTCTCCGATGCCAAATCTAGCTCTCATTTCACTGCATCTGGCTTCATTGAGAGGTCAAGTGACTAGCCCAGGGCAAAGCAGCCAGCGTGTAGCAAGCAGGACTCGAAATCTAATTTTCCAGACTTCCAGGCCAACTCTCTAAACACAGTATCACTGTTATGCCCCCTGCCGCTCCCGGGAGGAATTTCATTCTGCAAATGTCTCCAGGCATCAGGGATGCTATATTGCAAGAACCACTTTGCATTTTCTTCATGTATCCCTCCTTTTCCCTTCTTTTCTATTACTGCACTTGATGTTATCACTTTTTGTCTTGTTTCTTCCTTTCTCATAGCCTCTCCTTTCCTCATTTCTTTCACCTTATTTCTTCAAAAAGAAGCATGACTAGAGACCCTGGAAATGAGTCCTAATAATTAGAACTCTTCTTTGTAACTCTGGAATCTATCCGTAGTCCTTGCCACATTTCCAAATTCCTTTTTTATCACATCCTAAAATCAGTTCAGTCCTTCTCTTTTCTAAAATGTATTACCCCTTCCTTCCTCATTCATCAAACGTTTTAATGGCCAAACTAAACAAACACAAATACAAAACAACCTTCAAAGTACCTAGTACAAGGCTAATTTCTTCTGATGGGGATCCTGAGATCCTAGATAAGACAGCACCTAACAGAACCGATGCAAATCGGGTCAAAGTCCAAGCCCCAATGCTCCTGACGTTTTAGACATCTGAAAAGTAGTGCCGATGATAAAGCAGATCAAAGTCCACTATCAGCCTAGACACACTAATGTTCATATTTTAATTCAAATGCAAAAGCAACTATGACTTGTCTTAAACAGTGATATTCATTTCACCCCTTGAGAGCAAGCAAATCTATTCAATGAAAATAAATGTATCCTACGAGAATGGAATTTTGTATTTAAATGAGACAATTTGAGGGCTCTAAATGGAGTATCTCCCACCCCTGTCCCCACTCTTTCATTTGCTCCTTAGGAACACTGGGATCAACTCTTTTGATAACAACTCCACAGTCTCTTAAAAAGCCTATTTGTTGTTGTTGTTGTTGTTTAAATGCAGAGGGTAATTAGAATTGTTTTATGATTTTGCTGCAATTTTTTCATATTTGATTTTCAACTCTGTTCTGAGTCATGATCATTTATCACCTTAGTGCACCCAGATTTGAGAGGGATTTGCTATTATTATATCATTTTTTCCAGAGTCATAATAATCACATTTTAGAATCCTTTAATATACAATCATCCCCTGTTCATCTAAGAGATGATTTGTGATAACCAGCCTTAAATAACACCATTTTCAGCTCAGTACATTATTAGTTCTGACAAATTCTAAGTGCAGTTCAGTTTAGCATTTGTTCGAGAGCTTTCAAGACATCACATGGCTTTAGTATTGAAAGGTATCTTAGAGGTCATCCTATCTTACCCTTTCATTTTCCAAATGGGAAAATTAAGGGACTTCCTCAAGGTCACACAGAAAGCAAATGACAAAGCTGGGATGTAAACTCAGGTCCTTCCACTCCAAATCCTATTATCATTTTAAATTCTGATTTTCTTTAATGTTTCTTCTTACTGTTTTATGAATGGTCAACCTGTTGCCCAAAATCCCATAAGAGTAAGCATCAGGACTTGGAAGCTTGCAGTTGTATGTGTGTTTATTTATTTAGCCAGGAATAATAACAAGGTCCAGTTGCTGAATGAATTATAGGAGTGTGTTTTTTCCCTTTCTTGTGGATATTATTCTTGAAACCAAATATCTGAAAATTTGAAAAATGTACATTGCAAAATGATGCTAGGGATTTATTTCATTCACAACAATATGCCATTATAATTCTTGTTGCAGAAAGCCAAGCAAGGCATACTTGTGTGTCTCTCAAAATAGATTCCAGAGAGCAAGGAATGCTGGGGGTTTATGAATTTGAAAGAATGTACTTAAGGAAAGACTTGTAGGAATTAGGACCTAGAGGAGGGGCAAATGTACTCAAGATAAAACCTGAGGGCTTAGTGATGGAGGAGTACTGTCCATTTAAGCGACTGGGGCTAACTTAATTGGAACTGAGTGATCTTTAAGTTGTGATCAGCAAAATTCAGGTCAACCGACCAAGAATAGTAAAAAAAAAAAAAATCACCAT